ACGCCGCACCAACACCCGCGTTCATACTGCACGAGTCTGATTGCTGGTAGGGGCTGTACAACTGGCTTGCTGCACTAGGCGACTCGCAGAGACACCATCATCCTCTAGATCTGCCATAGATTGCAAAATGCGGTCTTTCACTCTTAACTCAATAACTATCCATCAGGTATGTACACGTGATTGAAGACACTGGTACCTTCGAGCCTCTAGGCATTGTCGCGGAGGTCGAAAATGGGGCCTTTGCGTGCGTGACATTCGAGTCAAGAGTCGAATCACTTGTCGTAGTACACGCCGTGAGCAGTCCCATGTCCTACGGGCTGCATGTGCAGCGGCTGTTTGGAAGGGGATTCGGGAACGTAGCCATATGGCACGTCGCTGGACTTGTGCGTGGCGGGCTGGTGGGATGTCTCATTGAGCGCTGGGCGGTCCCAAGGGTTTCTCTCAGGATTGGCAAGTCGGAAGGGAGGCCAGAAAGCGGCCCAGATGGCGTTGCTGAGGGCCAGAGGCAGAGCATCCAGCACGAAGAGGTAGATTTCGGTACTGTACAGCTTTCCACCATATCCTTGAGCCATCTCGATGATCCTATAGACCGAACGGACAATGATGAAGATGCTGGACAAGTACAAGAGATAGAGCGTTGCTGTAGCCGTCTTGGTGGATGAGCGAGAAGTGGTGCTGCCGGGTGCTCGAGCGATGTTTCTGTGCGCGGTCAGCAACAGGCCGACAAAGATGAGATAGGAGATGCCTTGACAAATGACACCAATGAGGAAGACTTTATCTCCCAGATCAGCTTTGTCTCCGCCTGTTGCCTGCAGACCACCGCCAGTTGCCTGAATGAGGAAGGTGATGACGTCCGACCAAATGAACAGCCTTCCGACGAGCTTGGGGGGCAGGATGGAGTAGACGCACTTTTGCCGTAGAGGAGAATTAGCCGTGAGTGTCGCATCAATGGACCGCATCAGGCGTCCGTAGAGCATGTAGTTGAATGCTAAGAAGGCCGCCGGGCTGAGGATAACTGCGCAAGATGATGCAAGATGAGCCATCAGCCCTCATGCCAGCAACACACGTCCAAGCCTTGCGCAAGCACTTACCAAACAGGTTGGCGATGGCATACAGTCCTATGCTCTGTTGATTATATCGACAGGCAATACGGAGCGCGAATCCGAGCGCAGAGAACGCTTCAGAAATGGGCAGGCAAAGGACCCACCTTGCCCATCGTGTCTTTGCAAACCATGCAAAGTGGACAAGCGAAAGAATGAGGTAGACAGCAGCAAAGGCTACGTTACCAGGGATGGAGAAGAGGTAAGGCAAAGGACTGCCTGCTTCGAGACCTGCTTTGGCTGTCGACATGGTGGAAAGGTAAGCTGGTTAGAGGGGTGCAGCGGTGGGCGGATTGATCGTCGTGATCTGTGGGAGAGCTAAGAAAGCGCAGACAATCTCCTCCTTTTGTACCCTTCTTCCCACCGGGTGTCCTGCCCTGTCCAACTCCATCTTCATCGGCTTGCGACTGGCAATCTCTCCGCGCACAGCCACGAGCACAAGCCGCTGCCAGGAATGTCAGTCTTTCCGAAGCTCGTCATTTGGCCGTCGCAGACATTTCGAGGCATAGTCTGTTGGACGATCCGCATCTTGTGCCTGCGGATAAATTTGCAGGCAGAGGAGCATCTCGGTAAGCGTACCGGTAAGATCTTCTACTCGATGAAGACTCGTGCTTCTTGACTGCATGCATGCCGATTCCGCGCGGGGAAATGATGAATTGTCAAAAGTACGCATCCTTTCCGCGGAAAGAAGGCGAACTTGCCACGTGACAATTCAAGACGGTTGATATATCGGCCGGGACAAGAAGC